ATAAGTAAAAACACAATAGAACTGATTGTCCAAAAACCACTGGCCAATTTTGCATGATAAGAGGACTTGGCTGGGTCTTCTCAGCATCTTTAGACCAAGTTACACCCATATTGGTGTTTAATTTTAGTAACAAATTAGAGGCAGTTACTGTGTAGAGCAGCAAAATTTAAGACACTAACATTGAAGAGTCGGGAAAATTTTGTGTGTCTGGGAAAATAATTGACACTTAAAAGCTAACCATGGAATAAAATGTAATGAAACTATTAGATTTGTAAAAAAATAAATAAGGGGCCCTCCCGGGTGGTGCAGCGGGCTAAAGCACTGCACTAAGAAGCTGAAACCACTTCCGCATGAGTTCGATTCCTGCCTGCCCCAGAGGTGGCCACATGGTGTGGCAGACCTCTCCTGACCTGCCCGCTGCTCCCCTCAGCAGGGTACTTCATCGATCTGCCTGTTGTGCTCCTCATTCTGTCTCTGGTGAAGTCTTTCGCCACCCCTGAGTCTCTGGCCTGTACCCCAGTTCTGTATGCACAAATAAATAAATCTTTAAAAAATAAAAAATAAATAAGGAAATGACTTTGTTTTTCCAGTTAAAACAAGTGCTACAAGTACCTATTATATCAAATAAATTGCAATTCCTAGGGAATCAATAGGAAATTATCAGTGTCCTTGCTTGCTTTTATGTGATATCATTAAGGTAGGTCAATGAATACTAACATTTAGCAGCTTCTAAAAATATAACCTTAAAACTTTAATAAATTCTGAGATGAGATCCTAAGGTATTATATAACTCCTTACTAAACATTGGAAGAATAATTTTCAAAATTAATAGAACCAGAAAACAAAAAATAGGACATATAGGATATATAGAAATGAAATAGTATTTGGACCATGAAATACTTTTCTTGAGAAAATGTAGGGCATATTAGAAGATTCTCAAAGCCAATTCTAGAGCATTCTGTATATTTTTTGTACTTTCTTTAAATTTCATGATGAACTTTATAACAAAAGATTTGGACACGATTAAATGTTTATATCATTCAAGAACTGTGTATTTCCCTTTTTATTGAAACATGGAAGATTATTGAAATATTTACTTAAATTTGAAAATCATTTAGAAATATATGATGTGGAAGTCTAGTTAAAGCTGTCCTGTCACTAGCACTCAGGAACAAGAGGAAATTTACTCTTTTTACAAATTATCAAATTTTTTTATTATATTAGTTTTTTTTTACATGTTTTTGTGCATTTTTCCATCTCAGTTGCAATCCCCTTGGGTTTCCCATCACCAAATCACCCATGTGCTATGTGCCATCACAAATTATCAATATTTTTAAAGAAAAATTATCTAGATAAAAGTTAGAATGCTAGTTAAAGGTGCACTTTTGAAAACACTGATGTTAAAATGTCTTTCCCAGTACTAATGTGGCATGTTTCAGTATGGATGTTTTATATTTTATACAACTTTTATTGAAAATATATCTATAGACATATGTAAAATGAGTATATAACAAGTATTTTTAGGCAAACAGTCTTATAGCTACCACCTAAGTCAAGAAATAAAACTGTGCCCTTTATGTCATGATTCCTCGGGCCTATATTCTCTGCAAGGTGTTTCAGGCTCAACCTATATTTTTCTACTCCAAAATCAATTAATTCTCCAAAGAGCTCTTGTTCATGTAAGTATTGATAGAAGAACGGCATTTATAAACTGAGTTCTGGATAACAAATGCACTCATCACTCTGCTTCGTGTTTTTTTCAAGACAATATTAAAAAAAAGGTTTTAAAGCACTGAAATACTATAAATGCCTCTTCGAGGTTTTAGAGACATGTAATTTGAAACACGATGATGAGGAACAACCATAACCACAATCTGCAATAGAAGCTATGTGATATTAAATGGAGTATTGATGTGTGAGGAGTTAATATTGCACCTTAGCCCTGAAATTTTGGTACAACCTCTCCCAGGTGAGACTTGCCTGCCTTTGTAGACCTACCTGGCACATTTCCAAATCCTTCTTAGCCTGCTAGGAACTTTGTGAATATTGGTAGATGGTGAAGAATGTACAGTCTCACATTAAAATGCATGAAAAATGCATTTGATGTCATCAGTGTCACAACTGAATGTCTGCCTAGAGGTTCTTTCCACAGAAAAGAGTACATACACTTTGGTACCTACTAAAGATGTCATTTTATTCAACCAAGATGTGAACACTTTATTACAATTTATTAAATCTCAAGGACTTTGGTGTGGCATTGAGTTCTTTATAAAGGCTGAAATTTGAACTTTCTGTTATTTTATGTGAAAAGTTTGTTCATAACAAACAAAATGACTATTACTAAGAGTTTACTCCAGTTTCTAGTCTATTCTTAGTAAGGGTTCTAATACTGTATTTTTAAAAAATACTCACAATTAAAAAAATATATTTATGCATACAGAACTGGGGTACGGGCCAGAGGTGCAGGGGCAGTGAGAGGATTCACCAGAGACAGAGTGGGGAGCAGGACAGACTGACTGACAAGTGCACTGCTGAGGGGAGCAGCAGGCAGGTCAGGAGAGGTCTGCCACGCCATGTGGGTCACCTCTGGGGCTGGGTATCGAACTCATGCGGAAGTGGCTTTAGCTTCTTAGTGCTGTGCTTTAACCCGCTGCACCACCAGGGAGGGCCCATACTCATGATTTTTAAAAAAGATATTTTTCTTACTCTACTAGTTAAAGAATTTCTCAACTATTTGGAGGTTTTTGGTTATTCTATCATTTGCGTAGGGCTGATTAGAAATAAGTCACAGAAAAGCCTGTACATTTACTGAAGAGGCAGGGGGTGGTTAGTAGGTATCATTTTAGGGGGACAACTGCCTAAATGTCATCATATCCATGTCTATCTTTTGGGTTGGTCTGAATCTTGCCTGGGTGGTAGATATTCAAGTGCTTGGTAACTTCAGTTTGATAAGAAAAATAAGAGAGCTGAAGGCTTCATTGTTCTGTTTTGAATGTTAAAAAAAAGTTCTGGTAAAATAAACACAAAATAAAATCTATCTTTTTAAACATTTTAAGTGTTTACATTTAGTGTTTCTATCGCATTAAGCACATTCACCTTTTTGTACCACCAATTTGAACTCTTTTCATCTTATAAAACTTAACTCTATACTCATTAAACCCATATTCCACCCCTTACCCCCAGCTCCTGATAACCCCCTTTCTAGTCTCTCTCTGTGAGGTCTCTAATCATCTCACATCAGTGGTATTGTGTGATTTATTGTTTTGTGACTGGCTTACTGCATAGCATAATGTCCTCATGGTTCAGCCACATGGCAGCACTGTCCAATTCCTTCTTTTTAAAAGCTGAATAATGTTCTACTGTGTGCATTTACCACATTTTATTATTCGTGGATCGACATTTATGTTGTTTCCTCCCTTGACTATTGTGGCAAGGGTTGGTATGAACATGGGTGTGTAAGCATGTTTGTGACCCTTCTCGGTTCTTTGGGGTATGCACCCATAAATGGAGTTTCTGGATAATACAGTAGTTCTGATTTTAATTTGCTATGATTATATACACGTATATATACACACACATGCTTATGTAACATCTATTTATTGAACTTTAATGTACATCACATCTTGTGACCCAGATGTATGGAGATTCTCAAGTTCCCCTCCATCTTCTCTGGAAGCTGGTCATGTGGTTGGGGGAGGGGGAAGTTCATCTACCTGTGTGGGATTACAGGGGGATTTGGTGCCAGACACTCTGGATTGTGACCTTGGAACTCTGCATTGCCATAGCTCCGCCACCTGATCCTTTCTGCTCACCACTCCAAGCGTGTCTCCTCTAGGTGAATGTGCCAAAAACCAATCCATTAGAATCCAATTTACTTCAATGGCTAATTTGCATAGGTAAGGTAAATGAGAGTTAATCAGGATTTTCCCGCAACCATTAGCATCTATGATGGATACCTGTGGTCTTAAAGGCAGCGGCACCTGAAGTATGGTGTGGGTGTACGTTAAGTGCGCACACCTGAGCCTGGAGACTGAGGTTATAAGGGCAGCGTCACAGGGGGGCAGCGCCTAGCCGACCATGCAGGGGAGTGCAGTGGAGACAGCGAGCGAAGAGAAGAAACAGAGAGAGACCACCAGGGAGCTCAGCAAGGGTAAAGATTCTCAGGGGTTAGTGGTCTGCCAGTCTCCTGGGCCCCAGGCCTCCCTTCCTTCCCTACACTTGGTTGTCTCACTACAAATGGTGTAGAAAGATCATGAAAAGCCTGAAAAAGCCACTGAGGGCTTCAGGACGCCTCCTTTACCCATGTGCCTGGGTCCACAGGATCCTGCTCTGTGCCTCCTTGGCGCTACAGCATATAGCATTAAAAAAATTATCTTTAGTTCTTATCTTGTCTTCATAATAGCATCTTTGGGCAAATTGAATTGGACTGTGCTTCAGTTCTCTGACGCTGCACTTAAAGTCTGAGGGCCACGAAGAAAGGAAAAGCCCAGAGGAATAAAAAAAAAAAGAGAATATTGTTTTTTTAGGGAGGTAGACTCCAGTGGTTGGCAATCTGTTTATTAGTAAACAGCTGATTTCTGGGAAACCTTTTTGGTTCCTGGACTGAAACATTACGAGGGCTACAAATGTAAATCAACGACTGATTGCCTGCGTGCGCGTGCGTGCGCGCTCACGCAGGTTCGGGCTAGGCGAACCCAGCCCAAGCGTCTAAGCGTGCTCTAGTATATGACGTCATTATAGTAGCGGCAGCCAACGCACATGCGCTCATTTAAAGAGCCAGCGTGCGCTCGGATCACTCCGCCCCGCCCTCTTCCCCAGATCGCCCCGCCTCCGTTCCTCCAGGCTGGTTCTGCTCCGCCCCGAGGAATCCGAGTAGCCAATCAACGCCCGCTTTTTCCTTGCCGTCAGTGGCGCGTGTCCCGGTTTCAAACGTTCGGGGGCGGGCTCCCGGCTTTGCGCACGCGTCGTGGGTTTCTTCGCGCACGCTGTTCCGCGTCTCCTCAGAGCCTGGTGGTGTTTGTGTGGAGTGGGGGGCTTCTGGACTGCCTGCGTCGCGATGGGCAAAACTGCCGACTACGGGGGTCCGGGCAGCCGCCCCGACCCGGTGCGGAGCTTCAATCGCTGGAAGAAGAAACATAGCCATAAGCAGAGTCAAAAGAAGCAGCTGAGGAAGCAGCTGAAGAAGCCCGAGTGGCAGGTGGAGCGTGAGGTGATCAGCCGCCTCATGCAGAACTACCAGACGGTGAGGCGGGCGCTGGGGAGCGGGCGCGGGGCGCGCACGTGGGGTGGGGGGTGGGGGGACGGTCTCTGCGGCGAGGGCCGGGCCTGTCGCCGGGGACCCTGCCTCGGCCGCGTATCCTTGGCCCCCAGGGCTAGAGAAGGGAGTGGGTGAGAGGTGCCACCAGGGACCGTGGCGGCTCCACAAGTGTCCTGTCAACTAAACCAGGCCTCGTGACCGCCCCGGTCCCTTCTCACGCAGCGGCGCTTAGGTGACACCAGTGTGTGACCGTGACGGTGAGGTGCGGGTTACTGAGGCAAGCTGCTGGCTATGCGACGCTCCTTGTAGCGTTACTTGCTTCCCTGGGTCTTAGCTCTCAGAGAACATTCAGGGGCCGTGAGTGCAGGGCCCTCGTAGCTGGTGTGGAACTGGAGCCTCGACCTGTGTTTCCTGAGTCCCAGCCTTTGCTTTTTTAAAAAAAGATTAATTTATTTATGCATACAGCCCTGGGGTACTGGTCAGAGGTGCAGGGGTTGAGAGGATTCACCAGAGACAGAGTGGGGAGCAGGACAGGCTGATGGATAAATACACTGATGAAGGGAGCAGAGGCGGTCAGGAGCAGGAGAGGTCTGCTGCGCCATGTGGGTCAGCTCCCTGGCGGGGATCGAACTCATGAGGTGGCTGTGGTGAGCTTTGTAGCGCCGTGCTTTAACCTGTTGCACCACCAGGGGTGGCCCAGCCTTTGATTTTTTAGCCTTTATGCCAGACGTGCATCCATCCCTCGCACAGTCCATCATCTTTCCTGTGCCCGTTTTATCTTCTGTACTTACTGCTTGTCCCCTCCTGAGAACTGGCCTGGAAAAGCTGGACTCTGGGGAGTGGTGTACCCCACTAGTTATCCCTCTCATCTCTTAACCTCTTCACTACATGCGTTTTGGGATTGACATTACCCTAAACCCATAAGATCTAGAAGAGGGTGCCACCTTCTAGTGCAGCCCATGAAGGGTTTAACATGTGGGGTGTTTCTGGAATGAAACTGTCATTCAGGTATAGCTTTCTTTAAAGTGATCCTTAGATCAACGTTCCACAGGTTGACTTGCCATCTCCTCACAACAAATTGAGGGTTGTTCGCATTACAGGTTTCCCTGCTGTCTGAAGTTGAACGTTTCTACTTGGTAGGTTATTGTGGGGGTCAGGAAACGCCGCTACCTTTAGTTTCTACCGAATAACTTTAGAGCATTTCCAGACTATCAAATCATACTAAATCTGAACACTTATTTTCAGGTGGGGGAAGCCTCGGTACAGATGAGGAAACTTTTGAGGCATGACACAGCTAAATTGCACAACGCTAAAGAGCTAGTTAGTGAAGACCCTAATTCAGTTTTGGTCTGACACTAGAACTCCAAACCCCTGCCCTGTTTTTCACTAAGTTCAAAGAGCAGCTCCCCTTCCCTTTTTTAAAATAATCTTAAAAATATTTGATTTTGTCATATAAATGAAGTATTATATTACTTGCAGTATTAGGCCAGATCCTTGCAGATTTGTTCTTCTCTAGGTAACCAAGATGTAGATCCTCTCAGAGAGGATCCTCACAGATCCTCTCAAATTTCTTGTGCAGAAATTTACTGTGGCCCACCACACACAAGTGGTGCCCAGTAGCCTCATAGGGGAAATATTGAATGGTTTGACTTAAACATTTGGACAGGACTTGGCTGATGCCTATGAGAAAAAATACACATCTTTGTCCCTCAGGAACTGTGGAGGTGGGGCGGGGGTTGCTGATATATTTTCACTAACATTTTAGTGGTGAACAAGTAGTGTTGTAGAGGTAGAGGGTGCTGCTTAGGGGAGCAAAGGTCGAGTTGTCCTGTAGTTGCCACGTAGCCAGGAGTTTATAGGCCAGATTTGGCTTGGGAATAGCTGTGGGTGGGATTTCACCCCCACAACTGCCTTTGCAGAGTGCACGAACTGCCCAGCCTTTGGGAGCTTGTTCTGGAATGATGCGTTCTCTAGAGAAGCTTGGCAAGGACACTGGCGCTAGAGGAAGCAACATGAAAGAAAAAAGCTGTGAGGGTACGGGTGTTCTCCCCTTGCTGTGTGGCTCATCTCCCTGAATTGGGTTCAGGTGATGTTGGAGAAGAGCGTTGAAGGTGGGTTGAGGGACTTTGGAGGCAGGAGGCAGCAGAATGCAGATTCCCCCACCACATCTAGCCTTCCTAGACTCCTCCCTCAAATATTCTTCCAAATCCTACCATGTCCTCCAAAGGACAGTGCCCAATAGGCCCTTCCTGTTCCCATGTGTGTTTTCCACAGCCTAATTTCTGGAATAAGGTACAGGGCAAATGGTAGTTAAAGTCTCTAATCAGATATCCTAGATGATCTGGTGGGCTCAGCACCACACAGAGCACATAAGTGTGGAGGAGGGAGGCAGAAGAATTCATGGAGAGATGGTCTTCTTGCTGGGGCTCTGAAGAGAAATTGGCATGGAATGTGGGTAACCTCAATAAGCTGGAGGAGGCCAGGGTATGGATTCCTCTAATCCCCAGAAAGGATACATCTCTACCAACACTTATTTTAAGGTGGGTGAGACCCAGTTTGGACTTCTGACTAGCAGAAGTGTAAATTAATAAAGTGATGTCCGTTTAAACCATTATTTGTGGTGACTTTTAAAGTAATAGTAGGAAGCTCACCTAGAGGCCAAGCTCAGAGACATCATCTAGAAGGAATGAGGCTTCAGGAGAGAAACTTTGGCTTCAGGAGCAGACTCAGTTTGACTCTCTCCTTAAGAGGCCTTCTGAAACAGGGCTAAAATGGGCTACAGCCTCCAAAGTACAGTGCCCACTAGAGGACAGGTCACTGTGGTTTCTTCAACTGCACCACAATTGCAGACTACTCAGGGTCCGGAACAACAGTGGGGTTTATTTAACAAATGGGAACAAGTGTTCTCAAGGCCACACGTGGCTGTTAATCTCACTCCAGATAGTGTCCACAGTTCCCAAAGTTCTAAATACAAGGCTGTTCATCTAAGATGTTGCTGTCCTATCAACAAGGGCCTGGAGTTTGGGACACATTGGCAAGCTGAGGGCCAGGATCCAGCATGGATCCAGCTCGCCCAGCTGGACATGCTCATAGGTTGGCAGCTGAGAGGAGGCAGCAGCAGCCACAGTCTGAGGGCTGGATGGATGGCACTGGATGCAGCACCAGGTAGCAGCACTGGGAGGTCGGACCACCAGATGATTAACCCAGACACCGTGCCTGTCACCTGTCAGCAGTAGGCCTGGGTAGCACTGGCCAGTAGTGCTTGTCATCTGGTCACTAGTGTTAATGCTTTTTATGCATTGTTGGTTCACACCAACAGCAAACGGCTCTTTTGAGACACTGGGCCCAAGGCCTTGTGCTCCTTCCAAGGGATGTCAGCAACAGGCCGGAGGCAGGCAGCGGCCTGCAAAGCTCTGGCTTTCCTGTGAAGTTTTTCAACTTCTCTTCCTCTGGAGGTCAGTTGCTGGATGCGTCTGTGAGCATCCAGTCTGAGTAAGCAAGCGGCCAGTCTGGAGCATCTTGAGAGAGTCCAAGCGAGTGCCATCTGAGCAAGTCTCAGTCCAGGAGTACAGCCAGAAAGCAGGTCTATTGAGCAGTGAGCTCGCCCAAGGGTGTGGGAGTCAGA